CAGTCATTTGTCATAAAAGTGACAGAAATCTACAGGGCACTTTATCTGGTATTATTATTAAGTATTAACCTTGTTCACTTGCATGTATCACATTCTGTACAGACACAATGAGAATGAAATATTACAAGTATAATTCCTTTTGAATTACACTAAAATCACAAACTACCTCTCACATTGACTATGGTTCTGCACATGCCTCATGTTGAATCACTTACTCATTCCTTAGCATTCAAATCCCCATTGTGACATCTGTCAGAGTAAAGGTTGAATAAGAGGACTTGTAATGGCCAAACCACGCAGCATCCTAAACTTCTTCACCGTGCCGATGGCATTACATCAAATACTTCACTCGGGCCAGTGCTTTTTGGCACCTGGGTCAGGACTCATGCGAGGGCCCCAGAGTGCCGCAGAGCAGGTGTCTCCAGAAAGCCCCCCCGGTGTTTCCCTGACAGTCGGACGTGTCAGGGGGCCACAGGTACTCTGCCTGAGGAGCGAAGTCCTGGGGGAAACAGACAGTGTATCAGGATCTCATTACTGGCTGCACATATACACTGTGTCATATACATTTAAGGCCCAGGGCTATGTTGTCACTTTTTCTGATGAGAACTTTTTTCCTATATGTCCTACATGTATGCATTCAGAAAATCTGAGCACATTATCTCCTTTCATGACATTCCACCATGCAGTCATTCAAAAAGGACTTAATCAGATGTAACGCCTTCTTTACTAAAGCCTGCTCAAAACTTAAATGAATGCAGCAGGTCAGAGTTCTTCCTGATTTATTCAGACCATTTGCACTAATGTAGTCGGTCACATTTTTCCAGCCAGAATAATAACAGATTTAGCTGACTGTGCTGTCTGCTCAAATCATTTGCCTCAGGCTTGTTGTGCAGCTGCATTTTGAGTTCCAAACATGGCTATAATCTCTCCCTCAATCTTTTGAAGCAGATTTTACGGCTGTTACTGAGTTGCACATTGTACGAAAAAGAATATATTCATTTTATTTTTATATTCGGGATTGTGGGAAACGGTATTTTGATCCCTCTGTCTGTACACACAAACTGAAAGATTGACAATAAAGTTACCTTTGACTTTGTATTATGAGGAACATAGGCTAAAAATCTCACATTGAAACCGACATAGTTAGCTATTAGCTTAACAAGTTGTGTGGAGGGGTTGAATGCGTGTTAATTTGTTTTAGGGTAAAAAATAATCACAGCAAGTCACAGCCTACTGACGCACTAATAGCTCATGAATCACACTTATGCAGTGATTTTACTTAATCCTCGGTGCATTCTTTATTCAGCATGCTCATCCAAATGGCCCCTGTGTTGCTCGGCCAAAAGTATACTTCTTCCTGGCTGAGAGCAGTTGGCTTTGGCCCCTGCTTCAACCTGATGACAAAAAAAACTTCAGCTGCTGCCACTGCTTTTTTAAAAGAGAAACTGATACATTTCCAGGAACAAGCATTTGTGAGTGACAATTGGTCCCGGACTTCTTAGGGGGTCAAATATTTTTGCTAGTCTAGAGTGGATGTTTTGGTGCTGAGTGTGCAAACTTTCCCACACCGAAGACAGTTGCAGTCCAGCTTGATTACATCTGGACTTTAGTTTGATCTAGCAAGGAAGCTTTTTTAAATTATTTTGTATAGCCTCTCTGCTTGATTTACTGGTGGACGATAAATAAGAGTAGGGAGGATGTCATGCAACAAATGTCAGGAGCTGCACTCCAACTCACGCCATTACTCTTATATGGTATCAAATTGCCTGCTGTACCATGAGGTACCATTGCAAGGCAACTTTAACAGAAACACATAACTCACTTAATGAAAGCTGACATTTCTTGGAAAGGGGTAACTTCTTGTGGTGAGGTTCCCCCCACCCACATCTTTGAATCCAGTAACCTCATATCAACGGCACTTTTCCACTAAAGAGCCAGGGAAATGTAAATGAGACACTCTCCTCCCCGGCTACCCACATTGGTCAGAGGCTCACTGATGGTTAGTCATTTCTGTTCAACAACCAATTCCAAGATGTATGTTTGCACTGTGATTTCCATTTTCCATTTAACGCACGCTCGCATGTACTTTCCTCTTGCACAGTGGGCTATGTCCTGCAGTGGTTCAGCTGATACAGTTCTTTTAAGACAGATATCAAATGGTTATTTCCGTTTATATTGATCATGCAATTATTCGTTAATTCCTTAACCCATGTCTCATAACATATGGTTAAAGTCCCCCACCTCCTATGAGACTCAAAGCTGATGTGGGATATTTTAAAAGATAAATAACGTCAGAAATGCAGAGCACCTCCTACAGCTCTCCTCTATCTCATTTCAAACATCATCTCAAGCGTCATTTGTTATATCAGATTTACTGCTCTGTTTTCTCTGCAAACATGAGGGCCCTTAAAGCCAAATGAGATAACATACTGTCATTTAAGGCTCGAGCTAACTGCATAAACATAAGCTTTGATACGCTGTAGCTGTGAGCTGAGTACAAGGTAGCAACATTTGGTTTATTTTGTTTGTTTATTTCATTCATTGTCAGATTTACTTTTGAACTTTTTTTTTATATGACTGTCTTTCTTTTTTGGGATGCTGTTTTATAAAAAAAAACATTATTTCATAATAAAACTAGTGCCAGGTTAAAGATTCTTTGACATGTTACATCTTCTAAAGTCTAAAAAAAGAAAATAAAAAAAGGTGGGTTTATGTAGTTTTCTCTCTAAACTTGAACTACAATGTGCTGAAAGATTATAACGTTATATTTGTTATTGCGTGAACAAAAAACTTCCTGCCTAAAAACGTGTTGTAAAGTAACTAAGTACATTTACTCAAGTACCATTTTTTGCTACTTTGTACTTCTGCTTCACTATAATTCAAAGGCAAATCTTGTACTTTTACTCCACTGTATTTATTTAATACCTTTAGTTACTTTGCAGATTTGGATTAATGATGTGAAATATAAATAACACTTAAATAAGACTTTAGTTACACCTGGAGTAACATTCACTTGTTCTACTCGATACTGAACACATTATCTTATGTCTTAAGAGAAAATAAGAGCTTTTAGTCCACATAACGACTAAAGAATGTAACCTGCTTGAATAAATTACATTTAAAGGGTTTCTTTATCACAACAAACTTGCTCATAGTAAACTTTATTGCACAACAAGTAAATCCTTCAATTGTCTCACTCTTTCATTAAATCAAGTAATTAAGATTAACAACCCATGCTTTGTGTAATATCGTTATTAAGCTTAACTTAATAAAACACTTTATCTTGGCTAATCTAAATTGCTGGCTATTTGTCAAGTGTGTGCATGAAAGTCAGTTGGACATACATCAGTGTTGACGTTTCCTACCTTGTAAAGGTGAAATGGAAAAATAGCAACCACATGTATTCACACTTATTGCAATTCTTCCAGCTGCAAGTGCTTCATCACTTTTGAGGCTGTAAAGTGACTTGCACATACTATACTTACTGAACATTATTCCCATGAACCCATTTACACTCTTGTCTTTGGGATTTGAACATAAAGGGCTTCCTGAGCTACTTTACTGTATGTTTGGACCTCTGTCGACAGGCATGTCCTCTCTTCAAGGTTATTTGGTCGTAAAGGACATGAGGGCTAAAGCAGTATGGGACCTGTAAAAAGAGAGCTTCTCAGCAGCCCCCTAAGGTGGAACGGCCACGGGACCCCACCTCCTTTCAGGGGTATCTGAGTTACATGGGGGGAAAAAAATCAAATACTGTTTGTTTTGCATTAGAGGTTGAATAGATAATTGAACACAACAACAACAAAACAGTAACATGTTAAACTGATCTGTTACAGTATGTGGCACAGGGAAATGTTTTCTGTTTTTCTCATCAAAGAGAGTGTTCAATGTATCTGTATTTCCCTCTGGAGTTGGCAAGAGGAAATTGTTTGACATTGTTTTGTGGTCAAATTAAAGTATTAAACACTTAACATTGAATGTCTGGGGCTCAACAAAATTAATGATGTTTCCACATATCTTACTATCAGTTGAGTAATGGTAGTTACTTCTGGAATAGGAAAAGGGGTGTATATGTATACCTTAATATATATGTGTAACCTATATAAAACTGATTGGTGCCTGAGTGCTTGACTCAGATAATTGACTGCCTTTAATTTGGAGATAACTGTTCCTTTATCAATTTTTTCTTGCACATGCAATGAGTTACCAGCAGGGGGTACTGTCCGCCAACACAACACTGCTTAACAGTCTTGCACATAGTATCCGATATAATGGCGATATATATCTTCTTTTCTTTTTTAAAGGCTTTTAACCATGAGCATAACCTTTATACAGTCTATGGTTGAACTGACAAGTGACTTTAATGCTTTGGTGACAGTTACCTATGAATTACTTAATAATAAACTACTTTGTTGTTACTATTATGAAAAAAACACCACTGCGCCAATGTCACTCCCAGTTTGACAGCCTCACGCTTTTCATGCTAGCAAATAAAGGCATCGAAGAGAAAGAAAAACTTGAAAGAGGTCTCCTTCTGTCTCACATTGTGGTACGCAGAGTAATATCATCAGCATCGATAACACATTTCGAGATGATGTGGCCTAGTTTTACGATAGTTTATGTGAAAAGGATTACCTGGGCCAAAATGCAAAACTTGGGCCCAAAATTGCATTGACTATCTCTAGTTGAATGAACGCTGTAGTTAAAATGTAAACGTTGTTGTTATATCTTCACTATAGTAACAGATAGGATACGTTGGCCAACTAATTTTTTTCCCACTATGTTTGGTTTCATCTCGCAGAGAATAGACGATCTTTGCAGCACCCGAAGGATTCTGCAGAGCTCTCTCTCCACTGGGTCCAGGCAGGGGCGGACTGGGACTAAATAATCAACCCGGGAAACTCGACCGGCCGACTGGCCCAACTCGGTACCGCTAGTCTATTGTCAACCGGGGGGGGGGGGGGGGGGGGGGGGGGGGGGCGTGGCTTCTTTCAGATGGGTGTGGTAATTTATGAGAGGTTTTATTTCTAAAGTTGTTGCTGAATTAACCTTGACTCAAAGGAGAATAAGTGTTACTCCGAGAGGTATGGGCATTTGCTGAAGGGCCTGGGTTTTTATTTTCAATTTGCCACTAAGGTTGAAGGTCTCTGAGGAAGGCAGCCCCGTGATCAAGGTAAATGTCAAGTGTCACAGAAGACTTTAAGGTGTGTGTCTGTTTGTTATGGGTGAGTAATAACTTGACTTTGACCAAACGCACGTCTGTTGAAATAACCCATGTGCTTGTTTGCATTTTACTGCTTGCTCAGATTTATTTCCATCTAATGACTAAGTTCTTGTAGAGTAAATTCAGCTTGAAAATTGTAAATGTTACTGGATTATTGCCAGTTACTCTGCATAGCCTGTGTTTAGTCAAAGTCAACTTTATTGAACCATCATAAACAATTGATGGCAAATAATGATAGTGCTTTGTGTGGAAATGGGAAATGTGACCTTCTTATGAGCTGCTTAACTACAATATGATTGGCCTGACCCTAAAACACAGCATGATTATACGTTCATACTGCCTTGACTTTAAGGAAATGATAACAACACAACAATTATTAGAAATAGTGTTAAATTGCAACGTATCCCTGAAAAGGTCACTGTCAAAAATACATTTTCTCCCCTGTCATTGGCTGTTCATGGACAGTCCAGCTCAAAGGCTCCATTGAGCCACTGCAACGAGGCAGTCCAGTGAAAGGAGTCCTTTATCTCAGTGGGTGTAGTGCTGTGCTGCTGTCACAACCCACAGCAATATCGGCTGATTTCTGAATGATGAAATGTTTAATATCAGGTTGGGTGTGTCACATGAATAGGTCATTGCTTTTTTAATGCTTAAAGTTGTGCAACTTTACAGAAAAATGGGCTTCATTCAACTGCTGAAATCACAGTTCCTGAGTCACCTCATCTTCTGCTATGTGTTCCTGGCCAGCGGCCTCATTGTCAACCTGTTGCAGTTCTGTACTCTCCCTCTGTGGCTGGTCAGTAAGAAGCTGGCCCGCAAGATCAACATCAGACTGTGCTACTGTATCAGCAGCCGTGAGTATTGTTATGCTCTCTGACACATAAATGATTCTGTCTGCTGACTGCTACAGCTTTTGTTTTGCTGCTGGAAAAAGAAGTGAGTCTTTTCGGTGGTTAAATGGTTGCAAAGATTTCAACTGCAATCTTGGGGCGGTGGTGGCGAATTCGATAGGGACTTGGCTTGGCAACTGGAAAGTCACCAGTTCAAGTCCCGGGAAAGACCAAGTCCTACCGAGGTGTCCCTGAGCACGGCACCGTTCCCTACACTGCTCCCCGGGCGCCGTTCAAAATTGCAGCACACTGCTCCTAACACAGAAAATGCAGAGAAACAATTTCCCCACGGGATTAATAAAGTATATTTAAAAAAAATCAAAAATGTAAAGAAACAGACAATCTTTACTCACATACAGTAACCTAAACTTGTTTTATGTCATCGTTGATTGTCAGAGATGGTAGTGGCCCTGGAGTGGTGGTCTGGGACTGAATGCACGCTCTACACAGACCCAAAGAGTTATCCACTGTATGGAAATGAGAATGCAATTGCGGTTCTGAATCACTGTTCTGAAATCGACTTCCTGTGTGGCTGGACATTTTGTGAAAGATTTGGAGTACTTGGGGTAAGAGAAATATTTTTGACCTCAACATTTTGTTTCATTATTTCAGTGCTACCCTTCAGTTCCTTTACATGCCTTAAATGTTCTTCTTATTCCAGAGCTCAAAAGTGTTAGCCAAACAAGAGTTGAGGTATTTACCTATTATTGGATGGATGTGGTACTTCCTGGAGATCGTTTTCTGCAAGAGGAAGTGGGAGGAGGACCGGAGGACAGTGGCTGAAAGTCTTCAGAACCTCCATGATTACCCGGAAAACTTTTGGGTGCGTTTTCGGACTCTGGAAATGTTTATGTCAATTTAACAGAGATATTTTTGAATAAGGTCATTAATAACAATGTATCTTCCCGGGGCTAGTTCTTGCTTTTCTGTGAAGGAACACGCTTTACCCCAAAGAAGCACGAGGTCAGCATGCAGGTGGCCGAGAGCAAAGGTTTACCCAAACTGAAGTATCATCTTCTACCCAGGACCAAAGGATTCTGGGTAACTGTTCAGAACCTCAGAGGAACTGGTTAGTGTCCATCATTGAGGAAGTCCAAAGTTAGAGATGCGACAATAAGTCGATGGGCAGGAAAATAATTTTGATAATTGATTAATTGTTCATTTCATTTTTCAATACATTAAATCAATAAATTAATGTGATGATTGAACAATAATTTGTTACAGAACCAGTTTAAACATGGCCACTAATAAATACCAAATACTGTTTGTGAATGCTTTAAGAGGGAAAGCCTGAGGGATTTGCAAATCAGATGAGTCATACAGTAAACAATGTGTATTGTCTCTTGTAGCTGCAGCTGTGTACGATTGCACACTGAACTTCAGAAACAAACAAGCGCCAAGCTTACTTGATATTCTTAACGGAAAGAAATATCATGCAGACTTATATGTGAGGTACAAATAAATGTTTTAGCTACATATCATTTCCCATTTACTGGTGTTGTCATTTATCGGAGATATCTGACTTCCCTTCTTCCTTGCAGGAGGATCCCTCTAGAGTTGATCCCAGAAGGTGAGGCAGAGTGTGCTGCGTGGCTCCACAAACTCTACCAGGAGAAGGTAAGAGTGTTTTAAACGTTGCAGTTAAGCCTAAGCGCCTTGAGTTTTGACAATTTTAAGTCTTTTAAAAGTATGTGGGTTTTTTTATAAATGTTTACATGGACTGGCCCCCCCTCCCTTAAAAAACACACTGGACGCTGCACTAGGTCACAAACTAGAGGAGACTGTGAAGTCCACCGCAGACGGACCACTTTTGGACAAAATGTCCTTTCCATTAAAGGCAGCTCATTGTGGAATAGCCTCCCAACTGAGATACGGGATTGTCCCACTCTCAATAGCTTCAAAGGTCAACTCAAAGAATGGTTGAGAAACAACCAGATGTGCAATCATCGCTAAATGAACTTTAACACAGGGGTATCTACTCTTGCACTTAATATGTCGTTGCTGCCATAGTGTACTGCCATGTGGTAAATACTTGTGTGTGCTGCTCTTGCTCTTTTGCATATCATGTATTTACTTTTTGCTATGTTTACAAATGTCATGTTCTTCTTATATGTTGTATGTCAGGGACTACGGATGGAAATTAGCTCAAAGCTAAAATCCGGCATATGTACACTTGAAGCATTATTTGTCTAAAGTGTTCATTAATGTGCATTGTCCCTATTCAAATAAACGATTAAATGAAATGAAGACGTTTAGTGTCTAGATCATTATGTAATCTGGCGTTGTACATTTTCTGATAACATTTTGGCTACTCCTTATCTGAAGAGAAACTGATAGCTATGTGATAATGTTCTTTTATTTTGGACTTTGATATTGAGCTGTGTTTGCATCAACGTGTCAACAGGATAGCTTTCAGGAACACTACACACAGAAAGGCTGTTTCCCCGGGCCCACAGTGACCCATCCACGCCGACCCTGGGCTTTGATCAACTGGATTCTCTGGGCCTGCATGCTCCTCTACCCCCTCGGTCTGCTACTGGTTCAACTGGTCAGCTCTGGATCCATACTGACCATTTTAGTCTCTGTAACCGTCGTCTGTGCAGGTTGGTTTCATGCATTCAATGGAAAGTCATCCTGAAATGGGTATAAATGTCCTTTCCTCAATTTAACCAGCTCCTTCTTGTCCAAACATTCCATAAACAGCAGATTTAACAACTCAAATGTAAGTCCCCTTTTTTGGAAACTATGATGTATCACTCTTGTGTGTCCCTCATAGCATTCAGGCATGTGCTCACACAGCAAAGTGAATCAAAGTCCTTCTGAATACCCACTGAGATGTTAATTGAGTTATGAAACCTTAACAGAATGAGTTCACGAGGAAGGAGCATGTTCGCGTCCACAGTAAATTCACGTTTGTGGTTCAGGGTAAAATGACAAATTGTGTTTTCTTGAAAGACACCAGCCCATCTTAAACATCAATACATTTATTAAAACAACTGTCTTTTTATCAAGCTTTTTCAAAATGTGCACTCACTGCATCGTTTCTCCACAGCTTCACTGGGAGGTCGCTGGATGATTGGCCAGACTGAGACTAACAGAGGCTCAAGCTATGGGAATAAGGAGGGTCCATCAAAGAACAACTAAAGACTCCTGGCGTGATCTGCGCTGCTTCTTTGCACAGCTCATCTGAGTGTTTGAACAACGCTCCGACAGGACAAGTCCAACAAGTGCAAACCTGCCTGAAGGCACAATGAGGTCAGGTCAGGATTCAAAGCTATGCTGCTGAAGCTCAAGATCATGAAACTAGACCCGGGGGTCGAGCTTCTTTTGGTAAACTTGGTGATAGGAATATGAGGCGAGAATACTGTCAAAAGCAGGAAACTCAAACTGTAATTTTAATTAAACCAATGGACCATGGACTACCTCTTTGATTGTAATTTAAAGCAGAAATCACATTTTAATGTTAGAATATTTTGACATTTAAATTTTTCTAAAAACATATTGCTTTATTAAAAGTGTTCTTACGCATGTGTCTATTGTCTCTGTTCATTTTTCCTTAGTTTTTTTTATTTATTGATTTTCTTTTTTAGCAACCAGAGCCTATAATGTAGAATGATCTATACAGCGGCCAGAAGAGTGATAGTTTATGTATTTTGATAATTAGAATATTTGGAAAGCTAGAAGCTTTAAAATAGATTCTGATTCATTTTAGCTGATTATACTCGTGCATCTGCAGGGTGAAATAATAATGACGCACGAGTCATCAACTGACTTACTGGTCACTTCCGTTTGTCTTGAGAAGGAAATGTATGTTTTTGCACTGTTGCTTAACAAAAACACTCCTCAGAGACAACTGAGCCGCAATGAATCACTTTATGACAGAAAACACGGGAGGCATTCACTTGGACAGTTAACCAGCCTCGGTCACTAAAGACTAAGCAAACTTAAAATATATAAAAAATGCTTGCAAACCTTCAAATATCTGACAACAGCATTCGACTATTTGACAGCTGACATTGATCACTGCGTGAAACAGAAGATCTTCTGCACTTTTTCATAAAGCTATGAAGCAATGATAGAAAAAGCAGTCATACCGGCATTGATACGTGCCAACATGTGCTGCTCATCCTCATCACCAGCATTACACATACTCCATATTAGTTGTTGGACATTCATTTCGAAAAAGAATGAAAATAGTGAACGCTGCTTTTTTTCCGAAACAGCCACAGCTAGTGAACAGAAATCTGCATCGCTACCACAAACATGATAGTAAATAATACTTACTTTATTCATATCCATTGATGAATGAATACCGGCATCTATTGCACAAGCAAATAACTCTTTGTAATTTTGTTCAATAAATGCTGAAAAAATAAAGTATATTATTTTGGTCCAGCTAATCTCGGCACCCTCTTATTTAAGGAAATGTTTTCACACCCCGTTTACCCAAAGGTTATTATTATAGAAGGATTTTAACAGCTCTATAATTGATTAGTAAAATATGTATTTACCAAATCTAAAGCACAATTGATAGGTTTTTATAGATATGTCAACTCGAAATTAAACTACCTAGCCATTTGATAGCTTTGTAATTATAAATGACATTTTCAAGGTAGAAGAACACAAACACATTTCATTAAAAAAACAAAACGATTGGTTTATTAATATTGTTTGTACATAGCAAACACTGTAAGAGCAGCAGAGGACCAGAAGTTGTGTGTGTGTGTCAGTGTGTGTGTTTGTGGATGTGTTGTGTTCAGCAGCAGGGCGGGTTTTCCTCTTCGTTGGCTTCGCTCCGGTCACATGAACAGTGGTGAGCATTTGACTTGAACATTGCTCCAACTTGACATTTACTCCTCAGCAAAGGCAAAGAATAATACATTACAAAAATCCTTCCAAGTGCCAAATGACAAGAGATAAATTAATTTGAATATTTGGATGGTGTTCATTTCATCAAAGGTAAACCAGTGTCTCCTTCCTTTCAGCGAGGCTTACCACACATTTTTCCGCCTCTAGGAAAAATAAGATTCCTCCCTCCTCTTCTTAACTGCCCCTTGGGTAAACAGTTTGAAAGTGCCATAGATTTGTCCCCCCCCCACCCATCCCCTCCCTATTTAAAAACAAAAAATGTATTCCTCAATGCCTTTTGAGAAGTCTCTTCACCAGTGAGAACAACAAATGTGGCAATAGTTACTTTACAATATTGTTTATACAAGAATGAAAGCCAATCCTATTCTTACAGTATGTACAATCCCAACCTTGCCCCTCCCCCCGAGACCATGTGTGGATAATGACACAGCGACGCTATCCTCCATAGGTCCAGTTGTCCTCTGAAATGATATTGTATTAGTTCCTCAGTTTAATGTGCCTTCAGCTGTCAGTTCCTCTTCTCCGCATCCAGTTATTTTTTATTTTCCAGACAGCGTGTACAGTAGTGCTTTCATTTGTAAACGTGGAAGCTGCAGAAGAGGGTCCATTCACTCTTCATCCGTACAAACCTAAAACAGACAAGAGATGCTGTAATGGGAGCTTTTTGGATGACCAGTTTGCCAAGACAATAACTTAAATGGAAGCGTTTTCACTATAAAAAGGGCTCCTATTATACTATTTTTAGATGCTAGCTAATGTAAACACAGACCATATTTCTCCCAAAACACGTCGCACATTGTTTCTGATACAGCAACGTTTCTGATAGGGGACCATAGGGCCGTGGGCGGGACCTTGCCAGGAGTTCAACGTAAAGCCAGCCCACATTTTAGTAATGTCGTCATGACCGCAGCAAATCTGGATCAGCTCCGTTGAACCCCCGATTTTTAGAGATGTGGGTACGGAGGAAAAGAGAGAGGGTTGTATTTTCTGACCCTTTGTGTGTCTCCACACCGGGGACACATTTTATGTATAAAAGACATAAAAAAGTGCATTTTGCATAATAGTTGACCTTTAAACATCAGTTCTGCTCTGTTCATTTAAGCCATTTTCCATAGCAGTGTCTCACCTTGACAAACGGGTGGTCTAGCAGCATGCTAGCGGTCCAGCGCCGTTTGGGTTCGCTCTCCAGACAGTGACCGAGGAAGTCTTTTCCCTCTGTGCTCAGCTTCTCCGGGATGGGGGGTTTGTGGCCCATGCCCACTTTGTACATGATCTGGAAGTTGTGCTCATACTCGTGCCAGGGCCTCTGCAGGTTGATATTAAAAGATTAGATTAGAACATAACATCATTTCCTTGTGGGTTTATTTTATTCTGTTTTTAGTCAAGGGAATTTCCTGAAGTAGTAAGACATTTAAATGTGTCTTTGATAAGCTTAACTAGCAGGTTTGGTAGCTTTTAGACGGCTATTTTTATCCAAAATGGTTTTTCAACTTAGGGAGCGGCAGTTTTGCTAGAGGGCTAACAGCTCTGTGGATTATGTCGGACTGAAACAGCAATTTGTTGCCAAAGCGTAACAGCATCTCACAATCAAAGCATTTTAATTTAAAATGTTAAATCTTTAAATTTCACTTAACTCGACTGAAATATAATCCTTTCATGTGGACGCAACAGCTGATCAGCAATGCATCTCTTGTTTTCCATTATAATAATTATAACAGAGCGACAATAAACTCAATAAAAGTATTTCAGCCCTTCTTACTTAGCATACTTTATTTGCAGCATAGAAAACATCCTCAATATGATCCAAGCTTGTTGAAATGTAGAGGATTTGTGCTTTTAAATTCAATAGCTTTATCAGTATGACCATAATTACATACAGTATTACTAAAGCTCTGTGTAATTGCAACATCATACACAAATACATATTTGAAACCAATGCTAAATTCTTAACAGAAGCAAGAAGATGTTTTTTTCCATCACTCCTTACCTTTCCAGTCACCATCTCAATGAGAACGCAGCCCAAACTCCAGATGTCCGCTGCTCGACCGTGACCTTCACCCTTTGCTCTGGTGATGACCTCAGGTGCCATGTATGCTAATTAAGACACAAAGAGTTATTAAACATTATGATTTATTTATCAGCGATAAAATAATATGCAGGGTTCAGATATATATTTGTATATAATTCCATGATATCAATGGGGGAAAACATTGGGAAATTGTATGTAAAAACGTATACCAAACAAATTAAACACAAAGGCGTTACATAAGACACAAGGACTACCCAAGCTTGTATCAATGATATGATGTGGGTGGACATCGATTGGTAAAAGGGGAGAAAGTTAAAGATCAAGCCACAGTGACCCCTGGTGGTGGCATCCAGACACAAACATCATTTCTTACCTGCTGTTCCCAGAGTGCTGTTCACCTCCCCTGGCATGGTGTGAGTGTTGTTCCTCAACTTGACGGAACAGCCAAAGTCACCGAGCTTAATCAGGCCCGACGATGTCAAAAATATGTTGGCTCCTGGTATGATAAGAAAAGACAGAAAGTACATTTGGGTTAGAACAGTCTCAGATCTATCAAAACTTTCCGCACTTCCAGAATCTGATTATGATCTGCTTTATTGTGAATTATTCAGATATAATTAATTTGCTTTTGGTGTATTGGTGAATACTACTGTATAGAAACTGCAAGGAAATTAAATTAAATAAAACAGGGAAAATATACACATTTCATCAAATTATAGTAAAATACTTAAAAAATATGTACAATATAACAGAATTAAAATAAATAAGATACGCATTAATAGAAGTGCAAGTTTGAGCAGAAATGTGAAAAATGGTCCAAGGAATGTGCAAAGTTTTACAGTATGAAGTTTAAAAAGAATATGCAATGTTCGGAGATGTAGTCCCAACGACGTGCATTAATGTAGCGCATGTTAACGTTGTGCTATGTGTGAAAAAGAAAAAAGAAAAAGAAAGAATGAAAAAGAGCATTTGACACTGACCCTTGATGTCCCGGTGGACGATGCCGTGTTCATGGAGCACGTTGATGGCTGTGATGGTCTGTTTGCTGTAGAGCCTGATTACGTGCTCCTGCAGCCCCAGTCTGGACACTTCCTCCAGCGTGCCCTCGTCACAGTACTCCATGAAGATGTACATCTCCTCCTACAGGTGAGAGCATTACAACTTAGACCAAACTCCTTCAGTATACACCATGTGATGCTTCACAGAGATTAACATGTGCCTCTTACCCGGTGGAGCTCCACTCCGAAGTATCGCACCAGGTTTGGGTGTTTAATGCCTTCAAATATTTTCAGCTCATCTGCCGTCTCCTTGATTGTTTTGTGATCGTTTGGCTGGAAACGGATCTGGTTGGAAAAAGACAAACAACTTTTACAAATACCTGCAGATCTACTTATTATTTAAAAACCCTATTAATTAATGTTGCATACCTCCTTCATGGCCATCAGTTCACCGGTGTCCACGTTGATGCAGGTGTACACCTTCCCATACTGGCCCTCACCTGTTGCACACACAAACATTACATCATTGTCTGTGTGAGTGACACATAACACACATCACAGGAAAAACTGATAAAGGAAAAATCAGTAGTCAGCCGTACCTATTTTGTTGCCCCTCTGCCACTTGAACGTCACCTTCC